TTTGCTTCTGTATTATCAATTGTTCAAGGAAATCAATAAAACTTCCAAGTATTTTAGAATAAGTTTACATATAGGTTGATATATGGTGGTTATTTACATATTTATAAACAAATGTCTATATTTGTCATTTCAGTAAAATGAATTAGAGATCAGTTACAAGAAATAATACTATATAATACTCAAATATTATAGAAGTGAAAATAGGTAGTTTTATGGTGGCAAATATAATATACATCAGTAAAACATTTTGTTACATTAAATCTGACAATTTCTAATCATAGTAAATGTTCACATCACCTTAGTGCACCACTGACATAGTGTTAATATTTAACATTATAAAATTATTGTCAACACTTCTTAGTTGAAAAACACATTGATCTAGTCTATAAAAAATACTTCAGGGTTGCCAGATTTAGCAAATAAAAAAACAGAATTCACAGCTAAATTTGAGTTTCAGACGAACAACAAATAATTTGTAGTATGAGTATATCCCATGTAATATTTGGGGCATACACTAAAGAATATCCATTGTTTAGCTGAAATTCAAATTTAACGGGGCATCCTGTATTTTATATGGCAAATCTCCTTAGGGTATAAATATGCATAATAGGTTAAGGCTCTTTCTGAGGTATAGTCTCTAGAAGATGATATGGTTTCACCTCAGTTATCTGAAAGTCAAACTTCACACTTTCTTAAGGCTAAAGAATGATGTACAATCAAAATTGCAGACAGACACCTGTGAACATCTAGCAACCGTGAAAATAGCAAAACACAAAGTAAGATGAAGGATTAAGCTTGATGCTCTGAAATTGGTATACATCCCACTGGGTGAAAAACAACACATATCAGCAAGCGATTGTACAAAAACTGAGAACCGTATGAGAGAGAGATTATGAAAGCAAAAAGAAAAAAGAGAAATGATAGGGAAAAGATAAAGGAGAATTAAAAAGAGCCAAGATATTGACAATAGGAGCGGAGGTCTTAACAGAAAAGTTGGTCCAGTGACAAATCAATTCTTCCATAGGTACAAGTACGATGGGGTGAGTCAGTCTTTCATTCTCAGGAACTACCAGGAGTATCAATATGCCACTTTAAAGTCAGATTATCACTTGGCCAACTGTGTAGCATGCAAAGAATAGAAATTAGGAAAGTCATGGTGAAACCATTTTTGGTTCAAGTAATCATCAATAATGCAAATCAGCCTTGTTGGAAATATGCAAGTTTTAGTGATACGAGAGAAGACAGGTAATTTACCTAAAGGTACCACAGCTACTAAAGGGGTAGAGTCAGGACTCAACCTCATGTTTTACACCAAAAGGTCCATATTTATTTTACTTAGCAATATTTTCATACACACTAATAGATTTATTTGATCAGGAAGAAGAGTCATGGTAGAGATGAGTTTATGTGAAAGTACTTAGGAGTGAGTCATGTGACATTTCAAAACGAAAGGAAGGTTAGCTCCAAGTGGTGTTAAACAAAGACCACCCCATGAAATTGTAAAATTCTGGGTAGTCTCTTCCCAGAAGATTTCACGAGGAATTGAATGTAGAATGTACAAAATGTCGATGAATTGTTGACCATTTGCACACACACCAATGCTGCAATTAGTAAGTATTCTCAGCATACTGGTCACTTACTTATCATTTTCTAAATATTTATCTAAAAGACTTCCCAACTCTATTCCCGTTGCTAAGTCACCGTGATTCCAATTGCTCTGTTTTATTTTCTGTAAGCTTTTTATCAATGTGGTAAATTATTATTTTACTTCCACCACTACCCCCATTCCCAACCAAAAAAATGTCAGCTCCATGGCATCAGGGACTTTCTCTGAACTGTTTGCTACTGTATCACCAGCACCTAACATAATGTCTGGCTCAGAAAAACAGTATGCTAAATATTTGTTTAAAGAATGAAAGCATGAATGATTCATACTTATATACACCAAACCAATACCTGTAAAGAGTACAATTTTGTTTATTCTGTGCTCTGGATTTTATTATGGAGTATGCGTCCTATGTTCTCTGCTTTCTTTTGCCTTTCAAAATCTACCTCCTGCTATTGAACTCAGTAACAAGTTGAATTAGTATAGAATTGATAGATCATACTTTGTGTCAAGTAATGACAATCCTTGAAGATTTCTGGGGCTGGTCAATCTGCGGCTGATTATTTAATTTTGTTTAAATAATAATTATTTAATTTTTTAAATTTTGATTATTTTATTTTGGAATACTGTTGACTATTTTTGTTCATTTCCCTAGCATGTATTGTACCTGCATAATCTGTTAAACTTCAAAGGTATCATTATTTTAATAAATTTTCTTCCATCATATCTTTGAAAACTTTTACATTTTATTTGCTTTATCTACTCTGAAATAAGTTCATAATAGATTTCCTTTCTCTTCCATACATAATACTCTCCCTTTAATCATTCTAAACAATTTGTCGATGTCTATTTTATTTTCCCTGATTTTTTTTGATTTTTCAAGCCTGTCTTCTGTACCATAATGATAGTTGTTCTCTTTTTAAATGTTTCCTATATAGCATTTATTGATAATAGGGTTATCTTTATTTTATATTAAACAGGCAAATGAGAATAATTTATTAAGTTCTAAATAAAACATGGAACTTATTTATGCTGCTTCTCAGAAATTCATCTAGGTTTTCTATTCTTAAAAACTATTTCCCATATTCATTACAACTTAAAATGTCTCAGTGTTTGGCATTATTTGTCATATCAAATATAAAACTGATGGGAGGTACAAGTTTTCATCTAAATAAAAATCTCTTACATAGAATAAAAAAATACTATGTCCCATAAACTTTGCATATGTTATCTTAGCTCCATGTAACAGTTGCTTAATGAGCACTTATTATGTGCAGATTTTGCACTAGGATTGGGGGACCATTATAAGTAGGCTATTGAAAGAGAAAAGAGACATCTGGAAACAGCAATGTTATTTCAGTTAATTATTTATTTCCTAGTAGTATGACTTAGTGCATAGAAAACAAGGTTTGACATCAGATAAGTGGCAAAGACTCTTGGCCTCTCCAATTGCTTTCTCATACATGCCAAGATCTCCTTCTGTAAAGTCAATATGGGGGCCATTAAGAGCTACTTCATACTGGATTTGTATTTGTATAGTCCTTGGTAAGAACTAAAAGGTCAATGAATGTCTGTTTCTACTATCCTTACATAGGAAATTGCAGGAGATCCAATTTGACAGTTGGGCCATTAATTGTCACCATGTCATACTGTTTATGTCTCAATAACAACTCACATTAGAAGGTGGTATGCTGTTGTCCAGTGTCTCTCTTGTCAAAATGTCAACATGTTTTGGGTGAGGAATCTAGCCCTTATGACTTTTGCACTTGTTATCATATCTATTAATATTAATAATTGCAATATTATTTATAGGCAGGAAGTACAATTGGTTGGTAGGAAGGTAGGTATGTCCATCAGTCTAACTTTCCCATACACTACTTAATTCAAAATAAAGCTTAAAAAGAGAAGTATATTTCCAGTCAACTCATTTTATAACCCAGGAAATTAATTCAAAAGAGTTTAAGTGAATTGCTCGAGGTTAGACCAACTCCTCTCTTGACTCTTACTTTGTTACTTTTTCCATTAAATCACTTGTTTGTTACATTTGGAAACTATAGATCCAAATATTTGGGAGTGTGGACTTATGAATATATGTAAAGAGATTACTCATGCTAATTCTTTAAACATCATGGATTTCCTTTCTTGCTTTTTCTAGACTGACATACAGTCATGCATCATTTACTGATGGGGATATATTCTACCAAATGCCATGTTAGGTGATTTCATCATTGTGCAAACATCATAGAGTGTATTTACACAAACCTAGATGGTATAACCTACTACACACCTTTGCTATTGCTCCTAGGCTACAAACCTGTTACTGCACTGAATGTTTGTAGGCAATTGTAACACAGT